AACAAGAATTAAGAGATTTGGCAAAATATAGCTTGAGTTATGAATTTTTAAAGATGAACATGTAAGATGAAGTTTATGTTCACTATTGAATTTAAATTCTCATAACTTGATGAATATGCATGATAAAATTATGAAATTTTGAGGACATGTCTAATTATAAGTTGAGATTATGACTGTTAAGTTTCATAATTTAAAGATGAGAAATGAATAAGTTATGAATATAAGAAGGCATATATGTAAAGATAAGTATATATGCAAGAATATTCATGAAATGTTTAAGTTGTTAAAATGAGATGATCATGAATAATTCTCATATAAGTGATGAGTAATTTGATGATGTTTTGGTGTAATATGTTGAGTATACAATTTTATAAAGATTGTATTATGTATGATATATTAACATCATGATTAAATGTTATGAGTAAAAGATGATATGGCTTGAGATTATTTTCACTTTCAAGTTAATTAAGTGAAAATTTAGTATAAGCCAATTTGGAGATATGATGAATGATGAATTAAGTATTTGATTGAGTAAAAGATCAAATTAAGTTAAGATAAGTTTATAAATCATGTTGATGATGTTGGTAAAAGTAAGCATATTTTAAGTTTAAATCAAGTATAATGTGAAATATAGTTATTTTCACATTTGAGTTATGACATGCTAAGTATAATACCATATTAATGTTTATGAAGACATGATTTATACAAGGTTAAGTAATTGACCTTAAGTATAAATAAAAAGAGAAGTTAAGTATAAACTTGAGAAAAAGCAAGTTTAATGAATTTCTATAAGATTTGGATAAGTTAAAAATCCTAAAAATCTTATTGAGTATATGAGCATAGTACTTAGTATATTTGTCTATATTTGATGTAACTTGCAGATACAGTACCAGTACAGCACTTATCGTTTTTCAAATGATTTCAAAGACAAAAAGGTGGGGACCCTGAATGGGTATCACGTTGAGTACGATATTGATGTCATATGGGATGAGGAGACCATCAGTTGTCTCAGAGTATATCCTAAAGTTTAAGTTTATTACGCTTGGGATGAGGAGGCATTAATTTGTTCTCAGAGATTATATCCTAAGTTCTGATGGAGGCCGTTAGGTGCCTTAGAAATATCCATCAGAGTGTGCACACGTATCCGATTAACTATCGGCAAGATAAGAGAAAAGTTTAAGTTACCGATCAGATATCGGTTTATGATTATCCATATTCGTTACTCACCCCCATGAGTTTTAGTTTCAGGTAACAGGTCGAAGAGAAGGTGTGAGTGGAGCAGTGTTGGTGTGGATAGTGGACTCAGATGAAGACAAGCTTTGATACGGACATTTATAACAGTCTGTATAATTAACCATGTTTTCAAGTATTTCCGCTATGCACATTAACTATTGAACTTGCATTTTAATGAATTTCATATTTCAAGTTTTTACCATTATGAGAAATATGATTATGGTATTTTAAATGCAAGTTTAAAGGAAATCTGTTTTATTTATGTATAAAGAAGTATTAGACAAAAGTTTAAAGATAATCGGATTTTCAAGATGATGAGTTTGAGTAGCATCCCGAGTTAGTCGCAAAAGATTTCGAAAGAATTAAGTATATTCGAAGTAAAAGTTGCGAAAAATTTACTCTGATAAGCGGGGTGTTACACTAACAAATTAAAGATAGCAAATCAAAAGCTGCAAAACCTACTGACAAAGCAAAGAAAACACATCAATAGCTGCAAGTGAGAAAATCCATCCAGTCCTGGTGAGCTGCTTTAATGGTGACATGGATGGGCATGAGAACATCTTGGAATATGCAAAGGTTACGGGTCTTCCAGAGCCACCAAAGGATATATGTAGTGTGTTGAATCCTAGCCTCTGATGTCTCTGATGAGCACACTGAACAGATGAAGTTCCACCAGCAACCAAATGAGGAGTCCTGTGAAGGATACATATTCCAAGAAACTGGTGTAGTGCTCCAAAGTCTAGCTGCTCTTGAGCAATGAAATAACACATGATTTACAGTTTCTGGACCTTCTCCACAGAGGCTGCAAATGACATCAATGTTCAACCCTCTTCTCTGAAGTTTTTTTTTTGACTGGGAGAGCTCCAGAAATGCATTTCCAAATGAAAATTTTAACTTTGTTAACCACTTTCAACTTCCAGAGTCTCAGTCTGTAATTTGATAAGGTATGACCAGATAGATTGCTGTTGCTAGGAATATCTAAAGAGAGCAGTTTGTTCTTAGACAAAAAGGAGTATGTACTGGATACTGAGAACTCACCTTTCTTGTTGAATTTCCAGTACTGTCTATCCTTGTGTCCATCTTTGAGAGTGTTAATGCAGAGAATGGCATTACTGTCTTGAGTGTTACAAACTTGATTAACCAGCCATGTGTTCCACCCATGCCCCTTGCAATGTCAATGAGAGAGGGTTTGGGATGCAGTAGAGAGGGGACCCAATTAACATCATCTATTCTGGTTGTTGCCCCACTTCTGATTTCTACTGCAAACCCTTTGGCAAAGGTGGGAAGTACATCTATCCAGTTGGACCAAAGCCAGGAGCAGTTAGAGGTCTTGACAACATCAAAAAGAGAGCAATGAGGAAAGTACCTTTCTTTTAGTATTCTGCTGACTAAGAGATGAGGTTGGGTAGATAATCTCCAGAATTGCTTACATATGAGGGCAGTGTTGAATAGCTGAAGGTCTAAAAACCCAAGACATCCATTTTCTTTTGGGAGTGAGAGCAAACTCCATGCTTTCCAGTGAATACCTTTTTGTTGATCTTCATTTGTACTCCACCAAAAGTTAGAGCAGAGCTTAGAGATGTTAGCACATAAAATTTTTGGCAATTGGAAACAAGACATGGTGAACATCGGAAGAGCCTGCAGAACAGCCTCGATGAGGACTGCTTTTCCTGCTTGACTAAGCAATTTTAATCTCCAACTCTGAATTTTAGACGTAACTGAATCAAGGACATATTGAAAAGTGTCCAGCTTTGATCTTCCAATACCAAGAGGGAGACCAAGGTATCTAGTAGATCTGTGGCAAGTGATACCTTCCAAAGTTGCACAAATTATGGCTTTAAGAAACTCAGGTGTGTTTCTACTGAAAAAAACAGAAGACTTACTGAGGTTGACAATTTGCCCAGTGAACAGTCTGTATCTCTCTAAAACTGAAAGGATTGAGTTTTCCTGATCAACTGTGGCCTTACAGAAGAACAATGAGTCATCTGCAAAAGAAGGTAGGAAACAGCAGGGCCATTCTTGGACAATTTCAAACCAGTTAGCTGACCAGATATTGAAGCTTGAGAGACAAGGGCAGTGAGCATTTCAGCAACAATAATAAAGAGATGAGGAGATAGAGGATCCCCTTGTCTTATTTCAGTTGATTAATTTAATTTTTTTTCGGGTTGTCAAGAATTCTATTTTATTTTAAACCAAAAGACCTCGTTTTACTTTTTTCTTTTACGAGAAGAGATTGTTAGAGTTCATTCTTCTTCGAAAATATCACGTTTAATTGTTTTTTTCAACAATAGTTGCAACTCTTTCTTATTTCAATTAATCTTAATGGTGCCAATATTTATCAAAATTTTTTTAAAATAATGTATAATCCTAAGTAATATAAAAAATTATAAAATATAAGAATTTAGGAAATTTTATTACAAAAGAAAAGAGAGAATTTTATGAAATATAAATAAAAAAATAGATAAAAAGAGAGAAAAGTTTACTAAATAGCCTGCCGCTCTCGGAATTTGCTGCTCTTTCTTTCATTAAATTAAAATAGAGTAAAGACAGAGAAATGAATAGATGAAGAATTTTTCTCACATGTCAAATATTTAAAAAAAAACGAAAAATAAACCTATAATAACTCAAGGAGAGGGACATGTTGGCAGACACTTTTTCACTCAAGCTAGGCGAGTACATGAGATTGTTGTCTATCCCAAATCTCTTAATTTGAGTGTGTATTNCAACAACTAAACAAAAAGACGACATTAGTTCGAGACATCCGATAGAAAGGAAGGGGACCCAATAAGGAGGGAATCATTCCAAACACATGAGGAATGCGAAGAGACCGTCCACCTTATTATGTTGTGAGTTACTCCGTTTTGATCCCTCGATAAATATCCACACCGACTACAATCGAAACGAGACAAGAGGCCTACAATATCAGCGAACACCCCGAACAGAGGGTCAAGCTCATGACGGAGGGAGATATCACTGACAACTCCCATGGAGTTCGATAAGACCAACTGGATATTTAAGCCCAAATCCGTCGCGACGCTTAATCCAAACCGAAAGGCTAAAGCTTCCGCTAGTAAAGGGGAAAAGGAGCCCGACAAACAAAGATGAAAAAGAAAACTAGACAAGCCCCTGAGTAATCAGGAATCCACCCGCCAAGGCCAACCTTTTTTATTCAATTCTTTATTTTTTAATATTGAAACTTTAACACCGTGTATTGCCAAAGCGGGTTTATAAACTCAAACCTTAAAGCTACTTTAATGGTAAACCTCTAGATTTGAGTTTACAAACATGTGCATATCCGTTAAAGATGCTCTTATATAATAGAAATCTTATCAGTATCAGGTTTTCAAACCTCGTAAAAACCAGTTATCAAAGTTACCTAAGAGAGATGGATTGGAGGGTTAGAGGAAAGGGAGGACACAACTTTCCCCTTGAAATTTAAATATTGAACGACAGCTGGGAAGAATACAGGATAATAAGGGGAGGACACAACTTTCCCCTTGAAATTTCAATATTAAATGACAGCTGGGAAGAATACAAGATAAATAAAAATATATCTCCATACTCTGACCAAGATAAAGGATAAAGCCTTTCCAAACTCCGAAGCTCCTACTGAAATTTCCTTTCACTTTTTTCAGAGGCCCGTCTCTCGTTCATGTGCATATGCTCCACTTGCACAATCGTGTCTCAAAAAATGCCTGTATAAAAGGAATATTAATTACTCATTCTTCACAAGTTGTGTTCACTGCAAAAAACTGTCCTGCTCCATCATGACTCCACCGCTCTTTCTCATATTTCTCTCCCTTTTCCTATCAATCCCATCCGGCCCGGCCCGGGCCCAAACACACCCAAAACCCATCCATCCCCGGGCCCTCCTCCTTCCCATCACCAAAGATCCTTCCACCAACCAATACATCACCACCATCTCCCAGAGGACCCCTCTCCGCCCCATCAAGCTCACGCTCGACCTCGGCGGCAAGGCCCTGTGGGCCGCCTGCGACCGGGCCGAATACAACAGCTCCACCTACAAGCCCGCACTCTGCGGCTCCCATCCCTGCACGGTAGCCAACTCAACCTCCTGCGACAAATGCTGGGACGGGCCTCGGCCCGGCTGCAACAACAACGCCTGCTCGGCCCTCGTCTACAACACCGTCGACCGGTCAGCCCAGGCCGGCGAGCTGGCCACTGACGTAGCCGCCCTCCGCTCGACCGACGGCTCCAACCCGGGCCCCATCGTGCGCGTGCCCGACCTCTTATTCACCTGCGGGTCCCGTTTTCTCGGCGAGAAGCTCGCCAAGGGGGTCAGGGGCATGGCGGGGTTCGGGAGAACCGAGACCTCGCTCCCCTCGTTGCTCACCGGAAGCTTCCAGATCCCGAAGAAGTTCGCGATCTGCCTAAGCTCGTCGAGGGGCGTCGCGTTCGTCGGGAGCGGGCCCTACGTGTTCCTTCCCGGCGTGGACGTCTCGGCCCGGCTCGTCTACACGGGCTTGATCGCCAACCGGTTCAGCACCGTCCAGCCCGTGATCGACGGCTTTCCGGACAAATCGAGGCCGTCGACCGAGTACTTCATCGGCGTGCGGGCCGTGAGAGTCAACCAACGGGCCGTGCCGTTGAGCCCGAAGCTGCTGAAAATTGGAAAAAAAGGGGAAGGGGGAACGAAGATCAGTACGGTCGAGCCGTACACGGTTCTGCGGTCGGTGATTTATAGAGCGGTCACGAGGGCATTTGTGGCGGCAATTTCGGGGGTGCCGAGGGTGGGCCCGGTTGGCCCGTTCGGGACGTGTTACAATGCGTCGAGCCTAGGGAGCACGAGGGTCGGTCCGGGGGTGCCGGCGATTGAATTTGTGCTGGAGAATAATGCCACGTGGACGATCTTTGGGGGGAATTCGATGGTTACGGTGAGGGGAGGTGACGTGGCGTGCTTGGGATTCGTGGATGGGGGCGAAAAGGCGAGGACCTCGATTGTGATTGGAGGATATCAGCTTGAGGACAACTTGTTGGAGTTTGATATGGAGAAATCTAGGCTCGGGTTCAGTTCCACGTTGTTGGGTCGTCAGACCAACTGCGCTAACTTCAATTTTACGGCCAAGGCTTGAGATCTAATTAATAAAGATCTGCTGGGTGTTTGATTTTTAGTTTGGATTAGAGAAAATCTGAATGCTCTCGTCTATTAAGGCACTGGAGTGATCTTGGAATGTGCTCAAATCGAGTGAACTTTTCTTTTTCTCTTATATCGTTATATCCATTCCACGGGGTACTTGATAAATCAAATGGTGGTTTAATTGCAGATTTAGTTATAAGGAAAATATTCATTTTTAATCTATTACTAGTACAATACCCGTGTATTACACGAGTGTTGAATTAGAAAGCTTTTGTAAAAAATATTAAATTTTTATTTTTTTATAAACTAAAATAATTTAATTTTATATAAAACAATAATTTGGGTTTTAATTAAATTTTTAAATTATTTTTTTTAATCGTAATAATTAAATACCCGTACATTAAATAAAAATGTCAATCCGTATTAATAAATAATTTTATTTTCTAATTAATTTTAAAAAATTATTTTATTATTATTATAAAGATAAATATAATTTATTTATTTTATATATACAATATGGATGTCAAATCGAAGCTCATCAAAAGATGATTAATTTGATATATTATATATGTAAAACCGATAAGAAATACAAAAGTTATCAACTTTTAAAATATATTTGCAATATTTTTTGTCAAATAGAATTCCAAAGCATGATAGCTTGGCACGTAGGCTCACCGCAATCTGAAATTATACATAGAGGAAATTTTGGTCATTTTATAGTAAAAGTCTACCCTTTTGACGACATTAAACTTATTACATTAATTTAAAAAATTCATCAAATAAGATTACACTAATCATTACTGGCAGGATTCTAAAATAATAAATAAGTTTCTTAACAAATTTACAATACCACTAATAATAATAAAAATTAAAAAAATAAATAATTAATTAAATGAAATATTTCCATTCTCATCATTTTTTCCCTGTTGAAAAGAATTCACCCTTTAATCAGGCACAATCTCATATTCACCGATAACAAGGACAAACGAACCTCTTCTTGAAAATTATTGTACATGTAAACTCCTTTCTAATTGTTATGTCTAGCACCAAGAAATGCACACATGTGAAGACCAAATTCCCGTAATTGATAATGACTCCCACTAACATGTCAAAAAACATGACCGGTCTCACTACTCATTTTACCAGTACCTGGGTAGCTCCCATCTATATTAGTGAAAACAAAAAATATATTAGGGTCATCAGGGAGGACATCAGTGGTTCCAGACTCGTGGTGTACATCAAAATAGTTGATAAAGACATGCGTCAATCAGTGTACACGCTGAGCATAACGAGCGGCAATGGTAACATTTCCACCCGTAGATTTTGGATCTACTAGGTCATATAATTCGACATCAGAATCCGAATCCTCTGACTTGAGCCCCTCGTGATTTGACAGCTCAACAGGGATCGCCATGAGGGATAAAATTTTAACGTTTGTAATTGAGGCCTTTTCATAAAATATAGTCGGACCCTCATACTCGATCGTCATTCCCTCATCATCAAAACGAGGTGGACCCTCATATTCGGTCGACCCTTGTTCGTCCACAAAAGCCTCTAAAAATTCAAGAATCTTGGCTCGGAACGATGACTCCAAACGTTGATCGTCGGTGAAATAGTCGTCAGCCCATTGTTGATGACCAAAGGGAGTAAACTCGGAGACGATATCTTCATCGCCACCGTCTTTGCCCACGAGGGAGGCGTGTTAGATATGCTGTAAAAGCTTGGCTTTCAGATATGAACAGTTCTATTTTGATCTGGCAATCATGTTTCGGTCAAATTACATATGCTTGCAGTTTATTTATTTATGCAATCATACTCCTTGTCTTACATTGAGATAGTGTGGTTCGTGGTATCTCGAACAGAAAGGTCACCTATCGGTTCCTTGTAAGACTAAATTATTTCTTCACAATCCAGACTGGCAGTGAGACCCCACTTGGAAAAAGACTGTAGTGTATTCTTGATTCAGTTGATCTTTGACTGGAGAACTACACTAGTACTTATGTTAAGTATTGAACAGGACCACGGAAGGATAAGATTATGAGACTCACTGACCGTTGTTGTAATCTAGACCTTCAGTGATTGATGCGTTCTCTAAAGCAGTAAGATAATATAAAATAGGCATATATATTTGTTACTTATTTATTTAATTTACCAAGGGTGATTCCTATTCTGTTAGGATGACATACTCGGTATTTTGGTAAATACGAATATTTATATAGTGTGCTATTATAAATTATTTAAGGTCACTGTGTCCCAGTGCGCTGGGTTGATGACGTCCCTGAAATGAGCTCAGGAAGAAATATTATGTCAAGTCCTGCAAGCGGATATGTTCCGACATAATGGTTAACGATCTGAGTGGTACTAGTTTCGGAAATGAATAAAGAAGTTGATTAATTATTTTGTCGGAAATTTAATTAATCAACGGACGTTATCTCTTAAACATAGGGAGGTAAATCGATCAATCAGATTAATAAATATTAATCAAGTGGAGGTTTGATTTAATTGATTAAATTTGAGCCAAATGGGGAGAGCAATAATAATATTCTAGTGCTATATATTATTATTTAATTTATTAGAATTTTAGGAATTAATTTTATTCCATATTTAATATTCCAAGAGTTGGAGAATATTCCTTCTAGAATATTACCTAGGGTTAGGAGACTTGAGAGTCTTCTAGAAGGTGATGTTAGGAGGAAGGAATCATGACCTAGTTGGGATTAGCTTATGGAGTAGAATTAGGATTCCTTAGCCTAATGGGATAAGCCCATATTTGGCACCTTCTTAAGGTCCCTAATGGAGCCTATAAATACACCATGTCCCAACCTCTTGTACAAGACTTGATGCATGTCGATTTTTCCTTATTCCTAAGAGAGAAAGATTGTCTTGATTAAGTGTTTGGGAGATTCAATTAATCGCACCACCAAGATTAATTGAAGTAGGTGTTTAGGTAATCCATTAGAAGATTTTAAGGTGATATTTGTCAAACCTTAAAGATCCAAATACTCCGGCCAACCACCGCCGACGACCGTCGTCCGCCACCGGCAGCCGCCGAAACTCGGCCCCACGCGCCCGCACGGGCCCAGCCAT